ATGAATTAATTATCTGATGAACATGACATGCTCTTGCTCTCTGTAAATAAAGCAAAGCCACTTCCTCGTCCGACATTAAACAGAGCCCGACAGAGGAGGGAGGGGCGGGGCGGCTGTCGTCGTGCAGCGCTTCAAGAGCTGACCTGTGTCTGACCTCAAAGTGCACAAGCTTCAAACTTCAGCGTTGGCTGCGATTTTGAAGCTGAAATCGCGTTCGGTGTGAACGCAGCATTAGAGGTTTAGCATTGGCAAAACTATATATTTATTTAGCGGATTATGAGTTAGCAAAGCAAAACTTTTGCTTAGCTCAAGAGACAGTCGTCTGGGCAGTTAACAATTTGTTGTTAGTGYTCCACTAATTWAAAAAAAACATTTTAAGTAATTTAGCATTAGCGAAGCTATATTTTTAGTTTGTGAATTATGAGTTAGCAAAGCTAACTTTTTGGTTAGCTGTGGCCCACCGCTGGCTAGGACCCAAAAATCCATCTCCTTCCAGCTTTTAGACCTGCCCAAATGAAACTGTCTAATTCAGGAAAACAACAATGATCAAACACAATCATAAACAATGTGAGGTGTTAGCTCTCCAAGTATCTGTTATGAATGACACTCAGCTACTACCACACCAAATTTTAGATCAATTATATTAAAACTGACTAAGCTGGAGCTGTTTATTGTGGTTGGTAAGATTATTTAGCTTTGGCGCCATCTTGAATTGGGTTAACCATCTGTAAAATCATTAGTTTGAGAGTTTTTTTAAATTTGTGAACTTGTTTATGAAATATTACTAAACACAGCACAACGTATTTTATTGAAGCAGACAATAATCTGACACTGACATCAACATTCGACTCAGGATAATTAGTTTTGAGGATTGTTGCTGTTTTCTGATCCAACCGTGGACCAGAGCAAACAGACCTGAGGAGGCTGCCAGCGTAGCTTCATGTAGATCGACCGTAAACATCAGTGAGCAACACTTTTCATTCTGTTACAACATGATGCATCCTGGTATAAATATTTCAGTAGCAGCCACTCCCAAACCGCTGAAATTCATCTCTGCCCTGCAAATGTTTCTGCTGATGATCAGTTAAAAAAAACCCAACAGTTTAGCTTCGCGGCTACTTCATCATCTCTGGCTTGTCCAGGAAAAGAGATAGCTACTGATCGTGAAAAAATAATATATTAGCATAAAGAAAACGACAGTTTGGGGGTAAACTTTACTTCTGYGTAGCATTTAGCGGGGCTTATTAAAGTTTAAATTAAACCAATAAGACCACCGGAGCAGGACACCAATCTGAATGGTAATTTGTTGCTGAGGGAAATGTAATAATAATGTTACTATTTATTTATTTTTCTTCTTTTACTGCCGAGCAGCAATAAGTCCCAGTGAAAGTAATGAAGCCCCCCTTGACTGTGCACTTCAGAGGATTAATGTGGTCGACTTTTTCTGGCCCACAGCTGATGAGCTTCCTAACAGCCTCCACCGTCTCCGCACTAAACCTCGCTGTCAGGGACGACTTCTTTCATTTGCACAACAGTTTGGCATCCAGACTCACATGTGGCAATGAGATTCAATAATGGAG